TTGCTACCATTACCATTATTTTGAATTGCATTGTTTTACATTCCCTATGTATTTACAAATCATTTAATGTGAAAATTTAAATGTTATATGTTTAAGAATACCTTGTTATAATTGTAGAAATAATTAGTACAGAATGTAAAATGCATGTGAATGTGACTGATACATACAACAGTGCCAAGTTTTATTATAATAATAACTGCCGTCATTTTACAGATTGCATTTGCTCATCTTTTGCCAAATTTTATTGAATGTTGGTGGGATGCACTTATATTGGATGTTCTGGTTTGCAATGGACTGGGCATTTGGGTAGGTCTTCAGATATGTAAATGCCTTGAAATGAGGGAGTACAAGTGGGTTAGCATCAGGTAAATAATCTCTATGTACTGTATCTCTGAACTTCCCATAAAAAATATGTATAAATTTTTTAAGTCAACTTTTATCACTCTGTTGCATGGGTTGAAGCTATTTTATCTGCTTTGCTCTCACCTTGACCCCAGCCCAGAAATTCAACAGTTTTAATGTATATCACTCCCCCCCCCACCTACCTCCATTTTCATCATTTCGTACTTGACTGACTGACAGAATTTATTAGTTCAATTTCGATGGATTTCTCTTAATGTAGGTGGCATGCTCCCCAAATGAACCGTTCTATTCAGAGACATAATATTGATAAACAAGGATTTAAGTCTTGATTGACAGCAACATAGCCTGAATTCTGAAGCCTTTCACAATTATAACAGGTTGAATTTTGTATCGACAAATATATAAAATGCTTGTAAAAAAAATTAAATTCGTGGCGCAACAGCTCCAGTATCAGTTTGACTGTAATTTTGCTACCCCCAATAATGAAATGAACGTGATCATAGGGACATCCACTCGACATCGGGCAAGATAAAGCGGGCGGTGCTACAGTTTACTCCAGGAAGTTGGACACACGTACGCTGGCTCGACCCAACGTGCACGTACATGCGATTCTTTGCACTCTGTCAAATGGTCATCTTCTGGCAAGTCTCTGAACTAAACACTTTCTTTCTGAAGCATATTTTTGAGATGCCGCCATCCCACCTCCTTGTTGTGACAAGACTCATCCTTATTGGTGTCATTGTTGCTCCATCAGTCAGGTAAGTCTAGAATGTAAATTGTAGCGTCCGTGTATTCCCTGTGTGTTTTATAGTAACTTAATTTAACAGTAACATCAATCTTGTAAACTGTCGACACTCCTTTCTTATCATTTTCCAAGTAGTATTTCTCCTAAATTTTTACATGAAAAATATATAAATGGAATATATTTCCCCTTCCAACATCAGAGGCTAAGAAGACAAAAAGTATGCTTATAAATATATCTTCTTCTGTGGCTCTCCAATCCGTATTCGGTCCATGGCCTCCTCAATTCTCCTCTTCCATTCGGTCCTCTGTTAGGTCCGTCTGTCCGAGGCTTTGATCGAGGTTTCGAAACATCTTCCTTTTTACGGTGCAAGGTTGTTAGCCTTGCGACCAACCCCCAACCTGGAGGACCGGGGTACCTGTCTTAGTCTGACCTCTCCCCCTCGACCAATCTGGCTAGGGAGGCCCTACCAGTAGCTCTTGGGGTCACTTGAGCCCCACGACCACGACAAGGTGTACCATTAAGTGGGGTTATAAATATATGACATTACATATTTGTTTAATATTTCAGAATACATCTGTTACTATTGTTATCGCTGGTGTCATAACTTGACGTTTTGCTCCCATTTGTTTGACATCTTAGTGAACAGTAATATTATTTTGATAGAGTAATAATATGAATATTTGCAGGCAGTACTACAGTTATGTGACAGACACCCAGTGCAAGCGAGTGGGGACTCAGTGCTGGGTATATGGGGCCATCATGGTCACTGAGGCTCTCCTCTGCATAAAAAATGGGAAGGAACTGTTTGAGAGAACACAGGTCATCAACATTATAATCTGGCTTCTCCTACAACTGCTACTCTCGGTGCTGTGCGTTTATGGTTGCGTACTCTGGCATAGGTATTTCCAGGTATGTCGTACCCCTCATTTTTGTATGGTACCCCTATCATTGAATCAAAGGCTAACATTGTGCATTCTGAAGCCTTGAAGAAAGTATTATTAAGAGCAACAATCACCATGATGTCTTAATTTCTTGTCATTTCTAGAGAAACTACCGTATCTAGGTCCCATTATAGTGAATTCGGGCTGTGCCGATGGATCTTACTCTATCATTGTATGAGAAAAACTGAGAAGATGCATTCATGGAACAGATGGTTCTCTCCGTGACCCCCAAAAATTTTCATGCACAAGTTTAGCGTAAGAAATAATTTGTTACGTTCATTATTTTGGATGTAAAATGCGAGACCTTCGCCAGCCTTACATCGTGCTTACAAACGATCCATTTAGCCATGTGTAACAGTAATGTACTGCTAATATTGTTTGATGTTGTAGAATCTTGAATATATGAAAATCTGTTCAGTGATACGTAATTAGCATTTGTGTGCCAATTCTGCAATCAAAAACTACATTCCACGAGACTCGCAGTTAGTTTGAATTGGTGTATATCTGCAAGGATTAATTTAATGCAATAAAACATAGAATGTGGGTGGCTTATTTTCAGAATGATGATGACATATCAAGGGAATCATCCCCTTGCAAATCTCCAGACAGTGGCATTAAAGAAAAGGGAGCAGAGTTTTATCATAACGAATCAACGACAGAGGCATTTACTAAATCAACCGAGGAAATAGGTATGGAAAAGCATTGGCAGATGGGGGAAGTCCATTAAAATGAAGCGGCAAAACCTGGAAAATAACTATAACTATTCAGAAATATCAGGATTTGACACAGAAATGCAAGTACCACATTCGTGTGTGAACATCGGTCCACTTCACGTACTTCGATAGTTAGTTGTAATACAAGTTTGGTCTTAATATGTAAAAGTGAGGCAGTAAATATCACTGGCTGAATTACAACTGACCCTGAGATAAGATGGCCATCTTCTTGGTTGTAGCGCCACGTAGTCTGGTACATATTTACCAACATTTCAGATGTCCTTGTTGCCTCCATCATCAGGGTGTTTTGTTGGTTTGTAAATACTGTATCAGAATTTATAATTGATTATCATCAGGGATCCAATAAAGAAAATAAAAGGAAAGAATCTTGTGGCAAATTAAATTCTTCCGCTGTGTTTATGCTGGAAAATCAGCAGAAGCACCGTCTATAACTGAATTTCCTCACCGACTAGTTACAGATAGTATTTTAAACAGTACTTTCCACCTGACTATTCTGCCTCACCTCTGTTTTATATTTATAAATGAAAATGTTGTGCCCTTTGTTAGAATTCTGTTTTCAATGGATCTGTTATCTGGACAAGTCACTGTCATATTGTGTTCTTTAGGTTCCATACATGGCAATGAGGACATTAAGAAGAGGAATGTAGCATTTCGCAATGGTGGTCCTGAGTCATTTTAACAAGCTGCAGCTTAAATTTTATTCATAGGTACAAAGTAGTAACATATATCATGAAGGCGTGCTTGTGTGTTCATCACATGTTTGGGAGAGATATTTCAGATTATCATAGAGTATGTAAACTGTAAGCACTATTAGTGTTTCCCGATAATCAAATATTTTTCTTGGCCAGAAACAGACTTCCGAGAGACAAAGGGGGCTAAGTAGCTGTAAGACGAAAAATGTGGGTATTATTTCTGAGCTCTTGCAATTATTTTAATGCATACATCAGATATTAATGCTGTTGTCTTACCTGGGATATATTTATGTCTATATCTTACATCGTAAAACCATAGCAACTATATGTCTGATATTGATTTAATAGCATCATGTATTACATTTTATAAAATTGTCTATCCAGGGCTATTACAGTTATGATTTCAACTGTAATTTCTGTAAAATTATATATGGTGTGTCAGAATTTGAAAATATGAGTTTTCAGTGTTGCTTCATTAATGCATTTCTGACAGTATAATGGTGTCCACATTATGTCAAAGGTTATGTAGGTCGTAAGATTTGAGGTTTTCACAGCGGTGAGTATGAAGATTTCCGTCTTCTGGGTTGTTGCACTGTGTAGTCTGGTCGATGTTATCCGTTTCAGAGGTCACCCTGATGACGGAGGCAGTATGACCTCTGAAACGTTGGTTAACATCGACCAGACTACACAGCGCAACAACCCAGAAGACGGAAATCTTCGTTATGTAGGTTGTTTGTAAAGTAAATTTTGTTAAAAAACCTCAAATCCTACATAAATTTTGATGGTGATCTGTTCAGAATTTGTCATACAAGATTTTGCAGGTACAAGTAAATACTACTCACAAAATATCATTTTGCGCACGGTCCCCATCGCTGTTAAGACATTTGCCCCAGTGGCACACAAGAATCATTATCCTGGCACTGAAGAAGTCCAGGCTTAGAGACCTAAATAACTTACGCATTTCAGTTTTCACCTCTTTATCTGAATATAACTTTTTGCCCACATTCTCTCTTTGATATTTAAATACTGTGTCAGTGTAACCTGTTAACGAGACTTGATGATAATGTCTAATCAAGAAAGAGGGTTTATATGGATGGTGCTAGTGCCATACTAGGTGATAGAACTGCAGCTAAGAGTAAGAAACTGCTCAAATCTAGTCATATATGTAATAATGTGAAGTAAATAGAATCTGTAATAATGTACCAAGATCTCCTATTTCAATCTCATATACTAATATTAGCATGGTGCATTACAAGCCAGATAAATATCTAGCAAAATCAAAACTTATTTGTTACATCCTTTTGTGTGAACAATATAAATTGATACCATCTGCACAACCTTCATTATAGAAATATTATTCACGAGCATCTTCAGGTTGGTAGGCATTGAATATTTTTTACGATGAAAGGTTGTTAGCCTTACGCCCAACCTCCAACCTGGAGGACCAAGAGGTGTGCACCGGGTATTGGTTGGGAAGCCTGAGGGGAAGAGACCGCTGGGGAGACCTAGACGTAGATGGGAGGATAATGTCAGGCGGGATCTATGGGAGATAGGAGTTGAACGAGACTGGATTTTGTTGGCCCAGGACAGGGTCCGGTGGAGGGCTTTGGTTTATTTGGTGATGTACCTTCGGGTTTGGTAAGCCATCTAGTTAGTTAGGCATTGAATATATTGTAAGTTCTCCATATAAGGCTGGAACATGTAATAGTAAAAATAATTGTCTGATTGTGGTATCTTTATAATAAAGGTTGGTAGATGGTCTTATTAATAATTTATATTATGTGCAAACATTAACAAAGGCAATGCAACAACTTTGATATTATTTAAAAATTAATGTAATTTTCAGTTCATTATGTGGTGTGCAAACGCAGCCGTGCTAATGGGTGACTATAAACCATTTGTGGCTGCTGTTTGCCATTTCTAAGTAACTGTGTTGTCTTTAATTAACAAGTCCCTCAAAGTATAAAACTGCTACCTGCCAATCGGTCGATGTCACTAAATCATGAGCTAAAGTTGTGCAGTACTTAGTGTGTAATGCTTCAGTTTGTGAAACAATTTTTAAACTAATGTGAAAAACTTATAAGTATAGATTAAAAAAATCCTATTCTTTGGAGCTGCAAATCTGAAACTTGAAAGTGTGAAGGATATGGATAACTTGTCACATGGCTTTGTTAAGCAAGTCTTAAATATAAATTAATTTTATGAAGTCAAAGCAATGTAATGAAAACTTACTACATTACCAATGAAGCAAGATCAATACTGTGTATTATTTTCATTTAATTACTTGGATACTGTAACATTCTATGATTTTTATACATTTTATCCAGAAGTTCAGTCTTAAAGTCACAGTTTCCCATCCACAGTTTCTTGCAATAAATGTGGCAGTACTTTAATTTTATTTTAAAAATTGTCTTGCGTGTGCTTTATCCTTCCCCGGTAGTAAATAGTAAAAATCAATCCAGCCAGAAACTGTGTGAATGAAGTATTTGATCTTTTTTTAAAATTCTTCCTCATCTCTATCCTTGAATATACTTTGTGATTTGTTTTGTAGGAAATATACATTTAAGTGTTACGTTTTTGGTAAAAATGTTATTTCTGTTCAATAAAATGTACCAAAAGTATATGGTATCAAGCATGTTATTTGTAATTGGATATTCATTTCCTCAAAGGAGCAAACCTGTCTCTCTAGGAATTAGTAATTGAAATTCCATAAACGTGATAAAGAAAAACCAATATCACATATCCTGTCTCATTCTTTTATAAAATGCAGATTGTTTAGGATTTCATTCTGTCAATTTCTCTCTAAGTGACTCAATTAGGTTTCCAGTATTAATCCTTTGCGGTCTCTTTTAAAAACCACTCTGGCTCTCTGCTGGTCTATTTAAATACCACTAAGCTACTGGTAGGGCCTCCCTAGCCAGATTGGTCGAGGGGGAGAGGTCAGACTAAGACAGGTACCCCGGTCCTCCAGGTGGGGGGTTGGTCGCAAGGCTAACAACCTTGCACCGTAAAAAGGAAGATGTTTCGAAACCTCGATCAAAGCCTCGGACAGACGGACCTAACAGAGGACCAAATGGAAGAGGAGAATTGAGGAGGCCATCGACCGAATACGGACCGGAGAGCCATAGAAGATAGAAGAAGCTATGTAAATTCAACTACTGTTATGAACTGATTTTCTTTTCTTTTATAAGTTGCATAAAGCGGAAGAAACTTTGCTAAATATGGTGAAAATATGTTCAGAAAGGATCACAGTTCCTACTGTTTGAATACTGATTTGTGAAATAATTTTCACGGATTGTACCACTGCCACCAGTGAGATGTGTAGTAAATGGTGCTTTCTGCTTGCTGTCGTTCAGTAGAGAATAAAGCAAGACCAAGTCGATAGATATGACTCTAAACGTCTAAACATCTCTTATTACATGCAGATATATGATGTATAAGCATTGAATTTCAAAATCTCAGAGCTATGCTTTTTTTTCGAGTTATTTGTGTTTGTAAGTTCAAGACCACGTTCAAACCATTAAAGCGAAACAGACCATGATGTGTAAACGATGAAGTCACTACACACAAAGAATGCTTGAGAAGAAGACGAATGAATACGCCTATATCAGTGGCAGATTGCTCTATGCATCAAAAATAATTAAAAAAATAGAATTTCCTACTAGGAAGATGAGATATTTGATTTATAACTTCATCAGATATAAAATATTCCCATTCTAAGTAATTTTACAGCAACATACCTAACAGTATATCAAATCTAAAACTTCTTGACGATGGGGAAGAGTCAATTGAATAAAAATTTACTTGGATATTATCCATCGTCTAGTAATAAAACGTAAAAAACGTAAAACGACGTTTCGGAGATGGGACTCTATCTCCGTCTTCAGGTTCCTACTCAGTTGGGCCCACTAGATAGAGCTAATCCCTATCTCCGGACCTAACGGTATTTCTTCAATGTATGATAAGTGGCAGAACAGGGTGGAGTCCTGGCTTCCTTGGACACGTCACAAAATGACGTTTCTCTCCTGCCTCCTTTCACTATTATAAGGTTCACAGAGTATTACCAGGAAAACGTGGATAGCTCTAATGCACAGATGAAGGCTTAAATAATATGTTGACACTTTGCCAGACTCAGCTTGACTCCAGATCATGTATAAAATTCGTAAAACACGTGGCAGACATAGTCTGACATCAGACTGGAACTCAGATTTTTCGATGTCGGACTCAGTCTGATTTAGGACTGCAAAGGGTTAAGGTTCAACCAAATTCCTTTAGTACATTCTGTACATTTTAGTCTGCATTACCAAACAGAGCTAGACAGTCTTTAATATTCTACTATCGTACCAAATGTATGTCTTGAGTGGGAATCAAATGAAAACAATATCAAGTTTACAATTTCATATAACAGCTGGAAGTGAGTGGCATTTTGTTAAAACTGAGAATGCATAATGTATTATTCACTATCTATGCCTTCGCAATTCACTACTGGCTTTACTCTAATATATTTTTTTTAAAATACCAAAGAATGTATTCTCTTTCTTTAATGTCATTTGTTTCATTTCCTTTACAATTCATTGTAAACTGCTATGATTTAATTGAAGCTGAAATAATAATATGAGCATTTTATTCATACACAAACCCTAAACAAAACCTTAATACTGATGGCAGTCACAAAGGAGAAGAGCATAAGGCTACGGCTGCTACTGGAAATACGTAAATAAGTGTGTCGGATACAATCAATAAGGTATTGTCAAGACTATATTTTGTTTTTATTTGACTCTCCTCACACAACTAGATATTAATTGAGCATTTCACTTGTATGTCAAACTTCCAAGATACCCTTCCGAGACCCACAAGCACAAATCAGCTATGTAGGTTGTCCCAGAACAATAACATTTATAAAGTCTACAACAGTGGTCCCCAACGTGGTGCCCGCGGGCGCCATGGTGGCCGCCAAGGCTTTTTTTGGATGTCCGCGTTGATACGGAAAGAGGTTATACTGAATAATGAAGGCCGTTCAACCATGAACATTATAAAATCAAAGCGCAGATCTCGACTTGCTGATGCCCATCTTGACGATTGTGTGTGAGCAGCAACATCATCCTACACTCCCAAATTTGAAAAAATTGCAGATGAAATGCAGCGCCAAACATCACACTAACTTCCCACTTGAGTAATAATAATTGTACTTATAAAAGTACGTATTTTTGATTGCGTGGTTTCTTGTATCATTAAACGTCGTGTTGTTTTGTGTATTATTTGGTGCCCATATCTTATTTGTCCAGAGAAAAGAAAATTTGGCTTTGTTAACTGGTTGGTGCCCACTACGATCTCATAAACTCTCAAATGTGCCCGTAGGCACAGAAAAAGGTTGGGGACCACTGGACTACATGAAGTACCGTAAGCATATAAATGTAGGAAACACTTTTGTATAAAGTACTTATACATAGAATTTAGCTAGGAACCAATCTCTTATATAACATTTCTATACATTCTATACATTACATATTGGAAGACTAAAAAAAATCAGTTATGAAATGCCCAATCATAATTAAAGCCACCATATGTTTGAATATTAAAATAATAAATAACCTCTATCATCGGATAATGTACCTTCCAGTTTATGCCTTCCATTCACTAACGGCGGACAACCACAAGTTATCGCCAAGGATCTGTCTCTCTGTACATCCGTTCTATGTTGTCTTTCAACATTTTTTCTTGATCTAAAAGAAAATTTATTTTGGCCGTTAATCCACATGTAATATACTTAGAAAGTAAAGTTTTAAAGTTAAAAATTAATTTTACATTGGAGATAGCTCTGACAGCTTTATATTTTATGTTCATAACAACACTGCATAAACACTTCTCACTGTAACATCATTTTCCCTCTTTGGATAATCAATTCTCTCAAACATAAAACTGTTGTAATTAATTTACTAACCTCAAGCTAGTAAGATATGAATTGAAAACATACAATTTAATGCGGTATTTCTGAATAAATAAAGCTTCTTGAAACAAAATTAAATTATAAGGAACTTTTGTTTACCTTCTCTTAAACTGGCAATGACGCACTGCTTCCTGAGAAACTCTGCACAAAGTTCCTTGCTGAGACCAAATGCATGCATGTTGCATGTGAATGTCCTAAGAACAAAACTGTGTTTTAAAAATCTATACATGCATTCATGAATTGTGCAGAGGTGGGAGGTTAAAACACACCAATATTTTATAGAAATCATATAACGACTATTTTTTCAGATTTTATAAATCACTGTTGGGTAACATTTCCTTCCAATTTTAATATCATCAACAGTTTAGAATCTGACACTCAAAACCAGTTTCTATCTTGAAAGCATATATAAAAAATTGGTACTTGTGGGTTATCGGGACGCATCGCTTCAAAAATAGGTTAGGTTAGGGTAGGTTAAGTTAGGTTAGGTTAGTTGTCATTTATTGAAATAAAATATTATAACTTGCAAGTATATGTCATTTATCCACACACACATTAACCTAACCTAACCTATTTTTAAAGTGATGTGTCCCAATAACCCACTAGTACCAAAAAATTTGTCATATGAGATGTTCAAAAAAAAAAATATTATACTGTGTTATTACCAATTTTAGAAGCAATAACATTTGTAAAAATACTGTAATTCACAATAGTCATAATACTAAATAACGTGAGACAATTCTCATTAAAAAATCCAATCCTCAATCAACTAGTCGGCAAGCTGTTAGAAGTGTAACACTACATAACCTCACCCTAATTGACCAAAGGTAATGTTTTCTTGATATTGCTTCTCATCGGTGATGGCCTCTAGGCTATTATGCTGAATGTCCTCACGTGTTACAACAGGTCTGTGAACCCGTTCACACTGCAGTGCATCGAAGAAAGCTGCATTCCAGAATCGCAGACTTTGCCAAATTGTTTGGTCTTTCAGGTACGTGTACAAGTACTCCTTATAGGGCTCACAGCCTGGCACATCCACTGAAAGCACACAATAACTTATCTGTATTAGTGACAGCAATTTTTATGCGCAGAATTGAGCATGCACATTTCAACTTATCTGTATTAGTGACAGCAATTTGTATATGCAGAATTGAGCACGCACATTTATCACTTACAATGTAACTACAGTAGTAATGCTGCATGCGGGATAAGAGAAGAAATATCTGTCATTCCATTTTCCATATTATTGGGACCCGCAGTGCTCAGGCACTTGAAGAACGGGTCGTTCCCAGTATCCAGTAATGGAGGTTCACAGGAGGTTAAAATGTGTTTTGTTTAGCTTACCTTCATGGTAGAACGTGAAGCACATGTTCATGAGAGACTTAGCGGGTGAGAAGTCATCGGCATCAGCACATTCAAATAATACAATGGCAAAATACTGCACAAGACTGTAGAATGTTGATTCATCAACCTTCTTGTTCTGGACACGTTGAGCATTCACAAACCTTGCAAACCACAGTCTGCCAGCCTCATGCTAAACAACACACAACGGAAGCAATTTCTGCTTTACCTGAACTGCACTTAGTTGAACATAAAACAAATTCTGAATACATATAAGACATAGGACCATATGAGGAAAGGACAGAAGGACAAAGTTTTAATGTTCAAAATGGTGGAACTTCATTACTTTTGTAGCCAGCTATGTTTATAGGCTTCTGAAATGTGAATAAACTGTCAATATCTTTACCAATGCAGAAAACATCTTTAGGTTAAAATGACTACTGAATTTAAATACAATATACTTTACATTAACATATATTTTAAATTAAGGTACATTTTAATAATCCTCAACTCAAACTTTTTATACATGAGCAATTTCACACAAGCAATAAATTATGCAATACACTGATAAGGTGATTTCATACTAACATTGAGTGAATTCTGATATATTTTCTTACTGATTTATATCCCTAATATTCACGGACTGAATCAGAAACAAAGATGACCAGCTAACGCCATACATATATCAATGAATCCCAACATAAAGAAGCACATTTTCATGCAGCACCGAATGAATAATTTACTTTCTTCGACAGTTTCATGAATCACATGAATGTATTAGGTTTTTCACATAATATATGTTTCCTTGTGTGTATATCTGCTAACACACAAACATAAGGGATGTGCGTATTCTAAAAACAGCCATACAGAAACCACACGACAAAAATGACGTATGAAACGAGTTCATATCTCGCAAGAACACACAAAGTCCAGATGTGTGCTCATACAGTTACACACACAAGTTATTCTTCCCATCATAGGCGTATTACTGAAGAGGGTGTTTTGGAAGTGTCTTATTACACAAGAGAGCAAATTATGTGAGCTATTACATGTTTCATACAATAAAATACCTGAACAAGCTGCCCAAATTTAGATTTCTGATCCAATGGTATAGCTGAGCTGTCTTTGAACATATCTCCAACAAACTTCCTCATGAACTCCACTGCTTCTGCCGTCATCTCATCGGACAGACTGTCAAAACTTAAACTCGATGCCCATGACTGGACTGAGCCCTCCGATCCTTAAAAATGCAATGGCATATCATTATGATAATTAATGGATCTTCACTTCCATTTTGAATTCAGATATTAATGCACACAACGTCATATTACAAAACAGTAAATTTCTTCAATTTTCACAGCATCTTATTGCTTGAAGATTTCTGTCTTCTGGGTTGTTGCGCTGTCTAGTCTGATCGATGTTGACCAACGTTTCTGAGGCCATACTGCCTCCGTCATCAGGGCGATGAATAAATCGTGTGATCGTGAACAAATTCATCGCTCTGATGACGGAGGCAGTATGACCTCTGAAACGTTGGTAGACATCGACCAGACTACACAGTGCAACAACCCAGAAGACAGAAATCTTCATACTCATCGCCGTGAAAACCTCAAATCTTACATCTTATGGGTTGCTGCACCATGTGGTCTTCCGGCTGCATACCAACAGTTCGGAAGAACATACTGACTACATCTTCAGGGCTGAAGTGAAGAGGATTAGGAAGTGGATAGAGGTTGGGTACATTTAACTGGACTGGAGTGAATCTGGATAGGGTGCCACAGCGGCTTTTGTGACAAAGGTCAGAAACAATCAGCTGATCAAAGAAGATTATGAATTCCAGAGTTAGTTCGTATAGTCAGTTATTTGATTAAACTTGAGGCCTTGAAAAAATGTACAAACGAACTAAATAAGCCTCCGCTCAGGTGATTCCTATTTGACCATGCAAAGAATTTGTGATGGATCCTTAAGCTTCATCAACATCTGCACACAAGCCAACAAATGGATCCTGGTAATAAAATTTTTTGTTACTCAATTTTGTTAATTTGAAAGGATGTGATGACTGTGGGTAATATCAAAATGCAAATTCGCTGGATTTGTTTTTTTTAATTACATTTCCTGGTGTGATATCTCGGAATATACCAATTCCACTTACCAGATCTGACCCAGTATTTCTTTCCATCATGATCAGATAAGTCAAGACTTGTGCTAGGACCGTACCCATCTCCGTCGCTCGCCGAGCCACTGCTCGGAGCCTCTGTTAATGTAATCAGTGAGAAAATCAGACTTACATTTTACAGTAATCCATAACAAGAAATTAGTTAATAGAGAACGAGGTAATGACAAACCAAACGTGATTTAGTTACACCACTTACAGAGTGTGAAAACATATTTTTTTAAAACAAATTTCTTTCTATATGATGTGAAGCTTTCACGACGGCTTTCATTAATAAAGTCTTCTCGGGCTATCAGCCGTGTTAGTTGGTGATTGATCGCCGACTAACACTGCTAAACTTGACTCTCTAGTCATGACATAAAGGTCAATCCAAAGTGTTTTGAGTATTTAATAACTATTGGTAAATGAAAGGAAACAAAATGACAGTTGGAAAACTTCAGTTACTGGTACACGGCTTAAAATGTACTTGTTGCAGGCTAACTAATACAACATTTAAGATCTTATACCGTACCTGACTTATATCGAAGTTTATCGTAAGGGTCAGGACCTGTCGCCCTCAATTCGACTGTCTGGTTGAACTTGCTTGAAATATCATTATTGCTTTCACTTGACGCACATGAATGATCTTCTCTGGGTTTTGCGTCATCTACTTTTAGTCCGTTTCCACCATTTCTTGACCCAAATATATCTTCCTTTGAAAGTTCCTTCTCCTTTTTATGCCTCGCAATAGCAGTGTAGTCTTCAAAAGAGAGTCCCGAGCCAAACTGCGGGAACCACAGTTTCCGAGTAAAGACTTCAGGGGCCGCTTGACTGCAATGGTCCAGCTCTACATTACTTGTTGGTACTGCGCTGTCCTGTGAAGCGGAGTCTGTGCTGAGGCTGAGTGCAGACTCTAATTTGGATGACAGCCCTGTGATGAGATCATTGCTGCCCTCAATCACAGATAAAAATCTTGATCTGAGAATACCTTGAGTCTTCCCCATGATGTGTCGGAGATGACCGTCGTTCCCATCTTTGGGTGCAGAGTTCAAAAAGTCCACCATTGCCGCTGGAGCTGCAAAAACATTACATTTGTAACTACTTTATTTCTAAATACTAGGGTTTTATAAACACTTATTTAGTCCTATTTATTCTTACTATTTCAAAACAAAAACTCTCTCATGCTTATATTACATTCCTTATAACTTTACTGCATTTTCTTAAGAATTACATTAAGAACGTGTGAGATTTGAGGTTTTCACAGTGGTCTTCTGGGTTGTTGCGCTGTGTAGTCTGGTCGATGTTGACCAACGTTTCAGAGGTCATACTGCCTCCATCATCAGGGCGATATTCAGACTACACAGCGCAACAACCCAGAAGACAGAAATCTTCATACATTAATAACATTGGTATTTTAAATATATATTCATTTAGCACTGATACAACGCCCACGGGTTCATATTTTATACACAATTATATTCGAAAATACTGACGTGAACAATTACACTACTTTCATTAGAAAGAAATTAAACTCCAAATATGCTGCCTCCGACGGCTTGTCTGACACACATCGGCACACAAAGTTATCAGCTGATCCAAACACAAGATCAATATCTGTAGAAGTCGCCAGGACCTACATGTCATTTACCGGCGATCACTTATGAATGACGCTCCTCCGTTGGGATTAGTGCTAAGAATCAACCCACCTACGTACGATTCTACTTCGCCCGGATGTTGCACGGCGTACGCTCGCCCCACAACCCGACGCGGTGTCATACCCCAGCCTATGAAGCCACGGGCCGCCGCGCGCCTGCTTTCCGAAACAGTGGCCTCAGAGCGAAACTCGATTGGTTGCCAAACGCGACGTCACGGTTACCATGACAACAGCAATGCGGCATCTAAAACTTATAACATACAATTTTTGGACATGTAGCCGTTCTTACGCCAAGGTAATTTATGCCTGTGTGCTAACGTGTCTTTTAAGCCATTCTTCTGTGCAGCCCCACAAACACTATTCAGATTTACGTCTTTCGAGTGGTCTCTTCCGTTCAGGCTTTCCAACCAAAATTTTATATGCATTTCTCATCTCTCACACATCTCATCCTCCTTGATTGGATTACTCTATTTGGCGAAGATTACAATCTGCGGAGATCATGTTAAGCAATTTTTTCCAGCCTCCTGCCTACATATTCTAAGTACCCTGTTCTCAAACCGAGGCCCTGTATAAAACTTAGGAACACGCGTTTCAAGGTGGAGAGTTACTAGCCTCGCTGCCCAACTCTAAAGCCGGAAGGCCACACCTTATCAGCTGTACGCGACTGCTTGTTCAACATATTCGAAATTACCCTCCATATCTGGCGGTCGTCACCTCCACTGGTAACCTGTCGACGCGCCACGCCGTGTTGAGAAGGAAGGCACCGTGAACCGATTAACTGGAACATCTGTAATTTTAAACACCTACTCAAATCGGCTCCCAATCTTATTTAATATAATCACACGCGTTAAGGCTTTACAGCACAGTATTAATTCTGTAAGGAAATTTCCACTTCGTTATCGTGCACCTCATGGGTGGCGATAACGCATCCTTACCACTCCAGAATATAGGCGCGCGCACACACAACTGTGTCAAGGACTCGTGGAAAAAGCACGATTATTTTCAGTTCAGTAGTGCAGATTACGCAAATATCGCATCGTTTCGGTTACCGTGCCCGTTAGTTAATGCATGGCATAATTTGGCAGTCATGTCGTAAAAGGACACCATCACAATTCGTGCAATAATTCTACCATACGATTTACACGCATTACTACTTAAATCATTCCTTGCCTATAGAATAAACTATTAATCTTCGATGTTTAAAGCACATCGAATTTCCGTTAACTGGTTTTGGGGAAAGAATCATGATGACAATTTCACTTCACTTTCACTTTAAGCACTGAACGAAAAAATATATAACAAGTTCCTTTTCACTCTTGCCACCAGAATTAGGTAATATGTAGGTGCTGGGATTACATTACGTATCTAAATTTCATAAATCAACAAGGATTAAGAAAACAGAAGTATATTTTTCATCTGAAGGCACTGGTAGAGCATAAATTTGGACAAAACTAGGGCAATTTTTGAAGAAGAAAAAAATATTACCTCGAGGACTGAACCTAGAAACTCCCACATACTGAAGAATATAATTTAATTTCAGAAGAGTTTATTGAATCGGACTGATATTTTGACAACACTTGGGTGGCTTATCTCCCGATGTCTCACGTCTCGCTGTAACAGCTCTTTCTAGTTTGTTCACATTCGTTAGAATTACGATTAGTAGCAGAAACTACTAAAATAGGGCAGCTTCTCCGACCGCCCATTCATTAAAAGCTTTCAGAACACATGACCTAGCCCTCTTACATGACACGATGTGTAGAGAATTCCTGACGCGCTGTTCTGCTTTCTTAGAAGCCAGGAATAACACATCAAAGTTCTCAAAGCAGCATTACAATTATACAAGTCCGTCACTTACGTATTCTCTGACGTAAATTGCAAATTTTATCGTTACGTTCTAAAAGTGTAGTTTAAAAATTCACTGCCTACTCCCGACAAGCTTCAGTGTAGATAAAGTAAAGTTTGTCCCACTATACGCCATGTAGGCGTTTGGGGTGAGTGGAGGTATAGCTCCTCTCTTCCTTGACCCCGGCACTAGATGGGGATGAGTGGTCAGCATCACGCCCAGGCCGGCTTTACCCCCGGGAAAGGACCCCGGTACCCATTGTAGAGGAGGCTGGGTGGGCCCCAGAGCCGGTCTGGACGCAGAGGCTAGAGGAAAAA